ATCTAATCATATTTCGTTTCAAAATATCTATTTCAAGTATCTATTTTAATCCACACAAAAACAAAAAAAACATCTATAGTAAGAAACTGTCACGACAAGATTGTGTAGTAAGAGCAGCCTGTTCCGGTGAAACCCCAGAATTTCCTTAACTTAAAAAAAAACAAGCAGTGTGATAAAGATTTAATATGACAAAGAACTTACTGTTTGTTTTCCGGCAGGAAAGTAATAGTCAATCACCAAACTTCCTTTCCTCTCGTAGCCATCCACATCTAATGGTGAATATCTCCATCGCATCTCTCCATTCGGGGGTTGCTTGCCTATACGAATTTTAAAGTGAAATCTACAAAAGGGACAAACTGAAACTTCGCTTAAACAAGTAGAACATAAAATAATGCCTGGCAACATTTCAGTGACTGAATATCAATACTTTCAAAACACACAGAGCAGCAGTCCCGTGAGTTTACTGAGGAGACCAGAGCTGCAATGCGGAAGGAAAAAAAAGTTATATCTTGGAAAAAAATGCCTTGAAAATATCGATCAGTGTCCTTATTATTTTTACTGAGCATCTAAATTTGACCTTTATAACCACATGTTGTCACTTTATTAACGTTTAAATTACCTTGCTTAACACCTGGGATTGCTTTATAAGCACTTGTATAATCTGGAGAACCACCGGCTTTCCCTGGATATACACCTGATGTTGTTGGATAACCAACTGATGTTCCAGGATATCCACCTGATGCTGCTGTATAGCCCCCTGATTTAAGTGGATATCCACCTTTTGGATATCTACATGATCTTGCTGGATACCCCCCTGATGTTGCTGTATAACCAGATGATGTTCCTGGATAACCACCTGTTAATAATATTATAAAACAGTTGTAAACAAAGCTGCACCAAATGAGCGAAGTCCCAGTGAGATAAAGATGAATGAGAGTATTTTGAAGTTGAAACAGAGTCAACGTTTTTATGTTCTAGAAACAGACGGGAATATTTCAGGTGATATACCACTGTTTGATCCAATGTTAATTTTTGGAAGTGCTATTGATAGGTCCATAAATTTATGTGTACACTGATAATGCTTTAGAAGTTTTTTTTCCCCAAATACAAACCCGAGCAAAGCTGAGTATATTGACAAGTTTAATTTAGTGAACTATTGGTTGCTTGTAAAAAAATGTTTATTAAACAATCTTGTATGGAAATCATTCAATTAAAAACAAGGCCTAATTATGTCAAATACGTAGACACATTTTCCTTTCCTTCCAAATTTATGAGGCAATATTAAAAAGTTAGGATAGGTCACAGGTAACATATTTATATAATGAGTTATTCGGATTAAAGAAAATTTCTTCAATACTTATTGAATTCAATTATTAATTGTGTTAGTGTTTGTTTAGATATGTCTGATGAGCAATCAAAGATTCAAAATGATTGTGTTTCATGTTTAATGACAAAATTAACATTATCAACGACTGATGCAGAATTCATCTGGTACCATCGACGGTCAAGAGTATTCAGATGAGCTAGTCAGAATCATAAATATTATTGAAAATATAATCATTAGCTGACGAAAATTATTTATATAGTAGCAAAGAAAATATTGGGTTGAAAAAAAATAAAAAAAGGTTCTGGCAATATAGTTCAGGATGTTTCTAATGAATCTTAATTTTCCTGACCAACACAAGATGATCTCTAAGGAGACCTAGCGTACATACATGATCGAATTGGTGGCATTAGCTTGTGACTCATTGTTATTTTTGTCTAAAGCAAGGCCTGCAAGGTCGAAATGAGAATTTCAACCAGGCTACGATAAATAAAACGGACTCTTGAACAAAAACGTCGCCTTTTTTTGGGGCGGGGGGAGGGGGGGGGGGATCATGCCCAAGATTTAAGAAATATACTAAAAACAAACCTAGGTATTACCATAAAGTAAGGCCTGCAAGGTCGAAATGAGAATTTCAACCAGGCTACGATAAATAAAACGGACTCTTGAACAAAAACGTCGCCTTTTTTTGGGGCGGGGGGAGGGGGGGGGGATCATGCCCAAGATTTAAGAAATATACTAAAAACAAACCTAGGTATTACCATAAAGTAGATTAGCATATTTAATATTCTAGACACTATCTAGTATTCATGCAGCAGAAATATGGTCAGATAAATAGGGAAAAATATCGTGATGGGATCTGATACCTCTTCGAAGTACCTGCCTAAAATTCTACATAGCAGCTTTCCCTGCCAGTTCAACTAGAGTTTACTTTTGTTAAGGGAAATTTAGAAGACTGAAATGTAACTTCACTGAAGTAAAAAATAAAATGCAGTGGAGCATGGTGGAGGGATAGCGCTTGTAATGAACTTTTAAATGTATTTATTTTTTTCCCATAAAAACGTATATGGTAGTCAAACATGATAATTATTTTTGTTATCTCTCATCTTTGGTGTGCAATAAAATTAAAGTCAACTGACCTCTTACTGCTTTCCCCGGCAAAATCTTTTTTGCGTTCCTTGAGTCCAATATTTTGATGACATGTGGAATGCAATCAGCACTAGCCGCAATTAAAATAGATTTTAATTGCTGAATTATTCCTAGAAATTCCTGAAGCAAAATCGAATATCATTTGTGCTATTCTTAAAACACTATTATAGTGCTGTAGTAATTTTTTTTGTTTCTGAAAAAGGTTTTTAAAAATAAACGTTATTAGTGTTCCTAATAAATTAAAAAAATAAAGAACAACCTTTACTCAATTTTACGACCACTTCTGATATAACAGACATGATTAATGCACTATCTAATTCCTTCCTGGCGCAGTCAGCATCAGGATTTGAAATGCAATTATGTGACTACTTATCGTCTTTATAATAATTCCATAAGCAGTTAGCAATGGCAGAAGGAGGGTGTTTTAGTCAATTCCAATCATTTAATCTTATGATGGTTTTGTGCAATCTTTAATTTCACTAGAAAGATGTGATTCAAAATAAATAAAATAATTAATAAAATTCACTTACTGGCATAAAAGATTGCACTTGTAAAGACCACTGTGTTTGACTTGTGGATTTTTTTGGCATTATCAAAGTTTCTAAATGCTTTGGTAACATCATCAGGGCTGTCAGGGTGTGGATGCAATTGACATATCAAGGTTGACCGACTTCCATCAGGTTTTGAAAGTGATAGATATTGAAACTCTCCTTTTTGCAGTGGTAAATCATAAATACGTTTAGCTGAATCTTTAACATTGAATATTTTTAGCCCACTTAATTCATCAAATAATTTTCCGACAACCACAATAGTTGATCTATAAACAGTGGCTGGTTTTGTAACGGTACTAATCTGTATTCAATTGACTTGATAGGCTATTGTATTTGATACAGCTGCTTGAGTAACCTTTACAGTGCTTTCGTCAAGTAATTTCATCCCTTGGTATGATTGACGTTGATCTTTGTCTTTAGTAGCAGAACTACCAGATTGGTCATTCCTTTTTGTGGAGATGTGCCGCTGTGCAAATTTAAAATCTTCATTAACAATCTTCTTCTTCTTCTATATCTTAAGGGCCCACGATCAATTTATTGATCATTTTGGCTCCTATGCATGTAGATGGGATTTGCAATGCTTCTGTTACTGGTGGTGATGAGGAAATTATGCACTAGGGGATTGAAGGCTTGAGGCAATAGACACAAATGTGTCTAGTGTTGTCGCCTCAACTGTTCCTTTTGAAAGATGGTTCCAGTCCCTGATTGTCTTGGGCAGGAATGAGCAGCTCCTATACTGGCTTCTTGCTGGTATGAGCCTGAATTGCCTGTCATGGCCTCGTCGCTGTCTATGGGGGAGAGGGACGAGTTTCTGTTCAATACTGGAACAGTGGACCAGCCCATTATTTATCTTGTACATCATGGAGAGCCTGGATTGTCGTCGTCGTTTCTCCAATGGTGACCAGCCTAGTGTTTCTAGCATGCTGCCAACACTAGAGGTATTCCTGTAGCGGTTTAGGACAAAGCGTGCTGCTCGTCGCTGGACCGCCTCCAACCTGTCAATGCTCTTCTGGGTAAATGGGTCCCAGACTGAAGATGCATAATCTAAAATCGGACGGATAAAGGCTTTATATGCTCTTTCTTTCACACAGGAGTTGCCAATCTTTAGATTTCGCCTTAAGAACCCCAAGGCTTGGTTTGCTTGGTTACATACATTGTTAATATGCTCGTCCCAGCGGACCTCTCTTTGAATGGTAACACCCAGGTACTTTACGGAGGAAACTTGCTCAAGAATATGGCCGTGCAGTTTGTATTGGTAGTGTAGAGGAGTACAACTTCTAGAGATTGATAGTGTCTGGCACTTGGCAGGGTGAAATTCCATGTCCCAGCTCATCTCCCACTCAGCTAACAGATTGAGATCCTGTTGTAGCTGGTCCTGGTCAGATCTGTTGGCGATCGTCCTATACACTGCTGTGTCATCTGCAAACAGTCTTGCCTGTGATGTCAGTTTCTCCGGTAGGTCATTAATGTATGCTAGGAACAAACAGGGGCCCAGGACTGATCCCTGGGGGACCCCTGACTTCACATTGACAAAGGAGGAGCTTGTACCGCCCACCACTACTGCTTGGCGTCGGTGGCTGAGGAAGCTAGAGATCCATGTTTTAGTGGTGCCTTGAATCCCATATATCTGGAGTTTGTGTAGAAGCAAACTATGATTCACCCGGTCAAATGCTTTTGCGAAGTCCATTACTAGCACGTCAGTCTGCTTGTGGTTCTCCAGATTGGTCATCAAGTCTTCTACAAATTCGAGAAGCTGGGTCTCACATGACCTATTGACTCGGAAGCCATGTTGACAGTCATTGAGTATATTTTTGCTTTCAAGATGCTTCATGACAGAGCTTACGATTATGTGCTCCAACAATTTGCAGACGACGCATCAACTGGTTCATGCCATTTGTTTATGAACGTCTCTTGTATGATATTCACCATAATGTCATCAACATCAACAAAGCGTATGTCCTTGACAGGGGCAACATTCAAATTATCAGCAAAGGCATCAAAACTTTTGACGGCCTCCATGTAGCATTGAGCACATAATTCTTTGGGTACTTAAAAATATCTGTTAAGAATATAACAAGATAGTGAAACTAAAAGAAAACAGTCTGGAATTTTATTTCTGAAATTTCTCAATTTAAAAAAAAAAATATTTAAAAATTGAAACTTCATTTATAATATAGGAAATGTAGTATTGATCAACTTTTAAGAGTTTGAATGCCATTAGCCCATTTTGTTGCTATTAGACAAAAATAAGTAATTCAGTGAAATAAATATGACTGTGAATGTTTTCTACGATTCAGAAATATACAAAAGAATAAATGATTAGATCTGATTAAATTCATTTTATTACCTTCAAAGACACAAGAACATTTTGAATTATCTATTCAATTTCTTTTTTCTAAATTTACGCAATGACCTTTCTATTTTAAAAGCACTTTAAATTTTAAAATATCTATTTTTTATCAAGATATAAATGCTCACCAGCACTGATGGAAGGCAAGGCTATTGATGCTTGCTGTTTTCTTGATGCTTCCACCAGACATCTGACAACAGTCCTACGCAAATCTGTTAAACATTGATGTTTATCTGCATAAGCCTTCCACTTTGGTCCTACAGCATGCATCACAAATTTGGCTCCTAAAAGTCCACCATTGGATACAAATACATCAGTGACATCAAGAGGTCCATATGTAGTAATGTGAGAATTACATTCATTTACCAATGACCGACCAGCAGCTGAAGCTATTGCCTTTGCGATGCCATCATCATGTTTCAGATGTCGATTAGTTCCATTCACAATAATATCTGTATCAAGTTTTGTGATGTTTTCTTTTCTCGCATAAACTTTTAAATTAGTTTTAGAACCTGTATAAAACTGAGCTCTTGTTTGTTTTAAAACATGTAAAAGTTCCAGTTCACTTGTGTTAGACGTTTCTTTATTTCTGCGATGGCTGAGGGCGGTCTTTACAGAGATTCTCTCTACATTCTCTCTGCTTTCTATTGGAGTGGGACTTTCTACAGGGGTGCTGCTTTCTACAGGGTTACTTTCTACAGAGGAGCTGTCTACAGAGATGCTGTCTATAAAGATGCTTTCTACAGGGGTGCTGTCTACAGAGATGCCGTCTATAAAGATGCTTTCTACAGGGATGCTGTCTACAGAGATGCTGTCTATAAAGATGCTTTCTTCAGAGATGCTGTCCACAGAGATACTTTCTACGGGGGAGCTAACGTTTCCATCGTAACTATTAATACGTTTGTCATTCAGTGTGTAGCTTTTAGTTTGTGTTATATTGGAATCTCTCTCCTGTGAACTTTGACCACATGGGGCTTTTCTACCAAAACTTTTTGCTGTGCCATCAGTCATCTCCTGATCAATTTCATCCGGGATCCCTAGTTGGGCAAGCAAATCTATTTTCGCTGAGGAAACTTCTCTCTTCAGACCATATAGCAATAATGTACTACGGGAACTAATAAAATGAACATTTAGGTAATTTTCAGACACTATGTTCATGGCTGAAAGTGACCATTCATAATTGCTGATTGGAATTTCTACGGCTGTGAATTCCTTTATCTGAGAGATTATAGAACGGTCTGATGTTTTATTCAATGTTATTTCAAATTCATCTCCTTTTTCTAATGAATATTTAGCCAAATTTAAACAAACCAAATATTTCTTTGCTGCTTGAAAGTGTTGTTTTTTCACCCTAAAAACTTCCACATCATAATCTGAGTCAATTGTTTTTTCAGTACTTTCCATCAAGTCAAAGTTTTCCATGTTAACCAGGACTGTGTTATGGTTACATAAGTCTGATGATAGTGTTTTGATAAGAAATTCAACGTTGTCTTCTTAGCTCTGTATTTTACAATAACTTCTGATGACTCACTCAAATCTTTACTATTGACGGTCTCTTTCTTTTCTGTGTCTTTTTTTAAAAGTGTTTTTCGTTAGGTTTAGTTTTTCTCCCGTGAACTGTAAATCAGTGCAATGCTCCAAACATGCCACCTAGTTGAGAATTGCCAAGTCCACCATGTCTTCTAGCTCTGTGCACTCGTTTCTCTGATATGCTTCCTCCTCTCTACATATCTCAAACCTTGTTTCCTAGCTCCTTTATGTGTATTGACAATTCTTTTCGTATTTCTGCTTAAACCTTTCTGATTTTCTAAGGCCTCAAATAGAAGTGTGTCATACTACCTAATTTCACTCACATCATCACGTAGGCCTTAAACACGCCATGATTGGTTCGAATTTTACAAATATTAATTTTTCCTGTAATATTTAAAGGATGAGGCGTTGCTTTATGGAATCCAAGATGTGTGATTGAAACTTAAAGTGTAGTCAAACCAGAAACCGCCTCAGCTTATCATTGCTGTCACTGTTTTTACTGGAACGGAAAGAACAATACACAAAAAAAAAGTGATACATTTTTTAAATGATATTTTTTAAAGTTTTTTTTTATATATAAATTTGTGCTCAGATGATTTAAATAAAATCATCATTCCTTAAAACAAATTTTTATTAAATCATGTCTAGAATGTAAAATGACAAATTTTTTTTTAAAACAAGAAATTATCTAGTCATAATTTCATGTGTTCACAATCTCACCAATTCAATCTGAATGGTGATTATGTCGTTCTGACTCAAAAACAAAAATACAATTACTTGATGTTTAATATTGTTTAAATTTAAAATTGTGCATTTTTGCCAGTGCCATCAAAAGGCATGGGGAAACACTGGACAGTTGCCAAGGGCCTGACGCTTCTGAGGCCTGGCGCTTCAGGGGTCTCCTCTAGGGGCCTTGTGTTTCTAAGGGGCCTTGTGTTTCTAAGGGGCCTTGTGTTTCTAAGGGGCCTCACGCATCTAGCGTTTCCGCTTTCAAATAAGTTCAATTTATTTCAATTTATTGTTATTAGTTATAGGAACATTTCTAGCCGTTAAAAAGTAATATATATATATAATTTTTTTTTGATAGGCCCTGCATGTAAATTGATTAGTAAGTTATCTGAAGAAAATTGGAATTATTTTAGTAATTTTAAAATTCCAATTTTTTAATATATTTTTTTTCTTTTTTGAACTTTATAATCCTTTGATTCCCCTTAGATCAGAGGTCAACAAACTACAGTCAATATTTAAGAATACAATTTTAATAGAGAAAACATGATTGTTGACGTCAATTAATCTACCCCCTACTCCCCCTTGTAAACAATATCACACATTTCTAAACCCCCCCTATCTCCCTCTCCCATTGTGTTGACATAATTAATGGACGCCCCGTAAATATTGAAAGTTCTAATTTTAAAATTAATCTTAACAATATTCTTGGATGTTTTGTTTACGGAGTCTAGAGTCAATTATTATTATTATTATATATATATATATATATATATATATATATATATATATATATATATATATATATATTTTCCGAGATAGAGAGAGACAGAGAGAGAGAGAGACAGAGAGAGAGAGAGAGAGAGAGAGATAGAGAGTTTTTAAAATATAATCTATGTAAGGCATTGTAAGGCAAGACGACCCTTTTGCTCATGACTAATCGATTAAGATTTCTGTGACCAAAGATTTAGCAGTGTTTTCACGCGACACATTCCTTCTCTTACAAATGAAACTGTGAGGATATCACATGCAAGTGACCGTGAATGGTTGCCCATGACCACGTTAAGCACCCGGCAAATTAAGATCATTTGTAATATGGACTCTACCGGGTTTTTAAACCTCAAATTAAAATATTCTTGTTTAAATTACCTCTAGGTTCATTCTAAAACACAAGTTATCAGATATTTTGATGTAGATAGTGGTCATATTTAAATGTTTCCCTATGTATCGTCATCTTCCGCCATCAAAGAGGGGGCGTTGTCGAAACGTACAGCTTGATTATTCGCCCCGCGCTCGTCATTTTGTCGAATTATCCGGCCCGCTGTGAAATTTTTGTTTGTGATCCCTGCCTTAGATCAGTGCTACTCAAAGTGGTGGTCCGCGGACCGGTGCCGATCCGTGGGCCTTCATCCGTCGGTCCGGAGAGCATGGATATTGATGTTTAAATATAAAGAAAATGTAATTAATAAATCTGGCAGCGGTCCCTTGTGCAGTTTCGAAACATGTCCACCGGTCACTGAAACTTTAAAAAAGTTTGGGAAACTCTACCTTAGATGAATCACACATTAATAAAGATACGATTCCTTTTTGTAAATGTCTCTTATCTTTGTTGCATAATAATGATGCTTATATATACAATTTGTTTTTTAATGACCAGTTATAATAGCCTTAAAAATTCTTTATAACTTTTTTACTAACCAATAACTATTGTTCTCTTTATTTTATTTAATCTGTCGCCACATCATGAACCACATTGAACACTACAACATCTTGAACAACCTAAACCACGGTTTCCGCTGTGGATTCTCAACAGAAACTCAATGAATCATCACCACCAATGACCCCCCTTTCCTTCTACGACAAAGGTAAACAGATCGACAGGGCAATTCTCGACCTCTCCATGGCCTTCGACACTGCTCCACACAGCCTTCTTCTACATAAGCTCTACCACTACGGCATTATCGGAAACCTTCACTCCTGGCTCTCAACATTCCTAACACAAAGGATCATGCAAGTAGTGGTGGGTGGCGTCCGATCAAGCAAAGCCAATGTAGACTCAGGAGTTCCTCATGGTACAGTGCTGGGCCCCTTTCTCTTCCTCTGTCATATAAACGACCTCCCTGATACTGTAAAATCTCAAGTGAGGCTGTTTGCAGATGACTGTCTTGTCTACAGAGAGATAAATGGCTACGATGACCATAACCACCTCTTAGCAGATTCGAATTGCCTTATGAAATGGGCGGACTCATGGGGCATAAAATTTAACGAAACCAAATGCTACACAATGAGCATCTCAAGTAAAAAAACAATCAACCTACATGTACTCTCTAAACAAGCCCATCCTCCAACAAGTATCAAATAATCCATACCTTGGAATTCTTTTCTCTAATAATCTAAAATGGTCACCATATACAAACAAATTTTTAAAAAAAGCCAACTGCACACTAGGTTTCATTCGAAGGAATCCTGCAAACGAACTGCCTATCTCGCACTCGTCCGTCTGCTACTAGAATATGGTGCGATAATCTGGGACCCAGACCTAAAGAAAGGCGTGGACAAAATGGAGCGAATACAACGCAACGCATTGCGCTTCATCGCACTTGACTACAAATCCACCACTCCTGACTTCGTCACTGACCTCTTAAAAAGAGTAGACATCCCCTCCCTCAAAGACAGAGGAGAAAAGCTCCGTCTAACATTTCTCTATAAAGTGGTCACGGGGCTAGTGCCGGCCATTCCAGCAAACACGTATCTCACCCCACAGAAGCCAGGTCGGTTAATCAGAGCCAAACGCCCAATAAACACTGACTTCCCCTCTGATAGCTCCATGAGATGTTACATCCGGAACAATGATAAATGAGTCAATGTGCCTCAGTGTAACACAGTTCAAAATCTTTTTCTTCTATATCTTAAGGGCCCACGATCAATTTATTGATCATTTTGGCTCCTATGCATATAGATGGGATTTGCAATGTTTCTGTTACTGGTGGTGATGAGGAAATTATGCACTAGGGGTTTGAAGGCTTGAGGCAATAGACACAAATGTGTCTAGTGTTGTCGCCTCAACTGTTCCTTTTGAAAGATGGTTCCTTGAGCAGCTCCTATACTGGCTTCTTGCTGGTATGAGCCTGAATTGCCTGTCATGGCCTCGTCGCTGTCTATGGGGGAGAGGGACGAGTTTCTGTTTAATACTGGAACAGTGGACCAGCCCATTATTTATCTTATTTATATTATTTATATAAACAATCATTCTGCACAAATTAAAAATGCAGGGTTGCATTTTGGCGCATACTTGAATTCAAGGTTTCTTTCAGACAATTTGAAGTGTAATTTCAAACTTTCGTGTCAGAAGTGCCTAAAGTAGCCATAATAAAGATCAAAGACATAATTAACGCTGCATCAGCGGGCCATGAACTAAATTCCTTCTAGATGTGGAGCCCTTGAGGGTATGCATTTTCCCTAGCTTAATATCTTTATTTTTTAAATCTTAAATATTAAATCTTTATACTAGTCCCCAAAATTTTTTTGATAAATTCAAAATACAAGATTGCATTTTAGGAAATACTTTAATTTCTGTTTTGTGACATTCTTACGCTTGGAGAGCAATGGAAGAGTTCCTAATTTTTTAAAAAATCTAGGTGTCTCTTCAATTTAAAAAATCGTGTGAGCCCAGCAACCCTTTCGGCTGCTGCGGGCCCTTAAGTATATTAAGGGCTTAAAGATGTGAGGTGGTTATTTTCTTACTGATCTTCTTTCAATGCAAGATGAGCAGAACAAAACCAAAAAGAGGCAAAATGGGCCCCGAAAAGTCGAGCGACAGCTTTTGCTTGAACAGTTTGTGTTATGGAATTTTTTGTATATTACTAAAAAGTAATGTAGCTTAAATTTTTATTGAAACCTTTTTGGGACTTAACTTTATAGTTATAAATTAATTTTCAGAAGGAAAAAAAAGAAGACGTCCGTTACAAAAAAGCACTGCTAACAACTTACGTGTAATAACAACCTTTGCTCAATATTTCCAAGTTTTACCAGAGTCCAAAACAACAACTGTTTAATAGAAAGGTCTATACATTTTTATAAGTTATCAAAACTTGTCATTTTTATAAATCATATATGAACGCAACTATTACTTAATAGAAGAGAGCGAGGGGGGGCAGGGTAAACAGATGTCCCCGGGCGCCAGCTAGTTAGGGGCGCCAAAATGTGCTTTGATATTATTTTTATTGATGAAAATAATGGGCTAGAGAGTTGAAAAAAAAGAAAAAGGGGGCGAAAAAAGAAAAAGGGGGCGCTTTAAAATGGATATTGTCCTCGGGTGCCAAACACTCTCGCTACGCCTCTGTATTCAGTTGAATTAAATTTTTATTTGGAATTTCAAACTACTATAATTCTTTAAGATAAATTACAAATTGCCACTTAGATATACTTTGAAACATTTTTTCCTACAGCCACATAATGTATTTTAAATTGACAAATTATGAATGCCTATTTATTTCTAAAACGACACCAATAAAAAGTGGAATCGGAATGACAATCGAAATTCTAGTTCACAAAAATATGTTTTAAAGTTTTCTGATAGCATCTCATCTAGAAAAAAAATATTAATTTAAAAAAAAATCCTTGCACACCGATGGTGCATTTTTTTAAATATTTTTTTTTTATGATATGAAACATTCAAAAGAAGTTGGAATTTTAATAAATGTAGGCTAATAATTTTTTCAAACCCCTGTTATTCAGGAAAATTTGTTTAAAAAGTAGCACATTTAAAGAAAACACAAACACTTTCAATATAATAATTGATGAAATGTGCACTATTTGTATGCGCTTGCTAAATTCTTAATTAATTACAAAATATATCTTTTTTTTTCAAGTCTCCATTTTATATACCTCAACATTCTTGGAATCGAGTAAATTTATACTTATGCTAACAATTTTTTAAAGCCTATTGACAAATGACATCATACAATTTATAATTAACTTAACACTTAGGCCTACCCCTATTATAAATTTAATGCTTTTACAATGAAATATAAGAACAAGGTATGTTAAACTTGAATTATACCACAGGAAAATAAGATTTGGACTAAAACTTAGATCATATTTTAGGGTTTTACATTTCATCATCTTATATCTGCCGTACAGAATTGTGTAAACTTCTATCCAGAGTCATTTTTTTTATATTTGATTGGGTAGCATAGGGGGGGGGTGGTAAGTAAGGTGGGTATATAAGGGGGTGTGGTCGGAAAAGTCATGATAAATAGGTGGTTATAATTAATTGATTATTATATATTATATGGCTAACTTACTATCACGTATAACAAGTTACAACTGTAGCCCACTCTATACTATACTATTACTATACCTAGTTGGTTTTTTTTTAATTTCACCACTCAGAAAATGCTTACATTTAAATTCCTTTTATGTTTCCAGACAATGTTATTATTCGTTTATGGCACTTTACGATCATGAAGAAGATCTATTGAATTCATTAAAAGTTTTCTTTCATTTTTAAAGCATTTTGGGAAAATCCAATACTATAAATATAAATTTGTTAAAATTATCTTCAGCACATGACAATAAACTCTTGCTATCAAGGCATCTACGTGCGTGGGTTATATGGGCGTATGCACTTGTCTCTTCCGGTCAGGGTTTCTCATTTCACTGTCTTTTGGCACCAAATCTTTTAATTTAATCTCCCTGTGTAAATTAGATAATAATAATAATAAGAGGTCTTATATAGCACGGTACCCCAGCCTAGGGCTGGGCTCACCGCGCTGTACATAAATTTTTTTTTCAAAAGAGACATAATCATGACATTAAAATAAAATGGCCCCTATGTATATAACTATAATAAGTTACGAACTAAGCTTTATCTCCCGGGATCCGCACGATTTTTAATGAACATAAGACTTCCCGGGAAATGTTCCAGTCCTGGAAATCCCGGATACACACTTTTAGAATGCAACTTATTTTTTCCAATGAGTGATACATTGTCACAAATTGTTGCTATTAGCCAAAAGCTGTAAAGTCTCGTTATCGGCGCTGATTTACTAAGCTCAGTCGCTCCAGTACAGAGGTTCTCAAGCTTTTTCAAGTCACGACCACATTTATATACAAGATAAATGCACTTAACAAGATATATTGGAAAAAAATGTCTTTTAACTAGGGTAAATTCGGAATTCTTGGAAAGGAACAAACTTTTTAAAACTTAATTGTCCTGCATCATGTAATTGCTCACATATTTTATATCACAACTGACATTATAACTCACACTTTAAGAAACACATAAAAAAATACAGCTAACTATTTAATCGCACTGCTTCTCTTAGTCTATTGTTTCATCCGGCGACCCCACATAAATAATTTTCGCAATCCCGTTAGAGATCACCTCCCATGGGCTGAAAACCAGAGCTATAGTAACCATCCAAAGATGTTCAAGTTTTAAACTACCATTATAATTTATATTAGGTATCGTTTGTGTTTTATTTTACAAAATCATCATAATAGTGAGACATGTAAATAGTATATCAATATAGATACATAATGTTTTAATATTCCTAATTGTTTTGTAGTTTGTTTGTTGTTGTTTTTTGTTTTTTTCTTTTGAAACAGATCCATTTGTTTCAAATTGTTATCAACATAAGCTTGTAAATATTTAGTGAACAATTCGAAACTACAATAATTAGTGACCTGTAAAGACTGCAAAACTCACAAAGTATTGAGATCTACTATCTAGGCCGTCGTGTCGACAGTTGCTTCACAAGCATATTATTAGCTGGTTATCTATTGCTGAAGATAAGCTGTGGGGAAATGAAGCATCTAGTAGCAAGTGACCTCTGAACTAATCTTAACAGTGTTTCGTATTCATTAAGAGACAATCCAACATTTTAAAACTTTAAGAATCAACTCTTCTATCATTCAATTCATTTACTAACATAGTTCAATTAAATTAATTTGATCCTGGGACACGAAAAATGTTATACCCGTTTTTTCCGAGAAAAGCTAAATTGGTTGGAGGGGGGATTTAATTTTTTTTTTTTTTTTTTTTTTTTTTTTTTTTTTTTTTTTTTTTTTTTTTTTTTTTTTTATATTTTTTTTTTTTTTTTTTTTTTTTTTTTTTGTAATACGTAATTGACATAGGTCCCTTAAACTTATTGTTTTCAAAATACTATAATTATTTACTAAGGGGGGTGTCCATAAAGGACGTCCGCACAAAATACACATTTTCCCACTCCCTCACCCTTGTCCGCTCTTGTCCGTCTACGTTTAGCTTACCCGTCCCCAGCTGGGGTTTTAGACGTCCGTTGGGACATACACAAATATTACAGTGAAAAATTCCAGGAAATAATACCGATTATAAAGTGAAAAGGTTCGCTTGAGTTAAGCTTCTAAATCAGTATGATTTGTGTCCATCAATTGATTAATGATTACGTACGCAATGAGGGTGAGGGGGGGTGTTGATTTTGAAAATTATGCCTTCTGTTGCGTAGAGTGGGGTGTGGTCAACAGAAAGTATTTAATTTAACATTATCATGTGTTATGTAGACGACATGTTTACGTCATATTTCCGCTGCTGTGAACACAAGTTCTGCAGCGCTATTAGGGTGCGTTCAAGGTTGCCATTGCCAGGGTGGGGATGGAAGATAAGCATCCACTCCTCTAGAAATGCCCTAAAAGGCTTGCGTCTCCTAATGCCTCTGTCAACCGAAATCCAGCTCCTGGCCTTCACGTGTGGCTTCACAAAAGCCCGGTGGTCCATGTTTCTACTAACAGGAGAAGGGATTAAGGCGGTCAACTGGCGCCTCAAAACTAATAGCTTCGGGTAGATGAGACTCGTAGTCCATTGGCTGGTAGCTCATATAGGAGAGGAAAACTCTGACTCCAAACCTCCGCTGCTTTGCGGGAAAGGCTAAGGGACTAAAACCCTACTTAAAATCAGGAAATCGAGCTCCTAGTGTGGTCTGTTTTTTTCAAACCAATTGCATTCCGGTAGCTCCTGCGACACCAATGGTGCCAAGCCGTGTCAACACAAGTCGATCCCTTGGGTCCACCAGTGGCGTGGAGAGGGGGGATCTGCTGTCTGGGCAGCAGCTGATTCTCCATACTACTTCGCCCAGGCTTTATCTTCACCGGAGAGGATACTCCAGCGAAATGTGTGAACAAAACACGGGAAGCAGCAGTTTACCGGTTTTAAGCCATAGCTCAATTGGCGTAGAGCTAGGCGCCAGGGGTTGCTTCTGACGGTGGGAGAGATCGCCATGTCTCACTGGAATGCTACCGCCCGCCTCAAGCTGGGCAGCCCCCAGGCAATAAGGTGCTATCCCGCCATGGCCTGCCTGCTCCACTGAGTGCTTGGAGCTCAGAGGAACATCTCAACAAGTAGGCCCCAAAAACATGCACCTAGAAATAAGAAACAAAAGAAAAGAAGAAGCTGGAATGTAAGGACTATGTGTCCGGGCATTACTGCCGACCTGCAGCTCATAAACAATGCAAGGAAGACAGCCATTATTGATAGAGAGCTTAGCAGGCTAAACATTGATATTGCCTGTCTCCGGGAAACTAGGCTCCCCGAATGTGGTACCATAAAAGAACACAACTACCTTTTCTTCTGGCAGGGTGGACCAATGGATGCACCAAGACATCATGGGATTGGTTTTGCTATAAAAACACACTCTGCTCCTCCATAGAACCACCGACAAAGGGTCTATCAACATCTTCAGGTTTAGTCAACATCCTCAGTGCTTATGCCCTAACCCTTTCCTCCAGCTCAGAAGCCAAAGACCAGTTCTATGAAGACCTTAATCAAACTTCAATGCAAGAGTGGGAAGCGATCACATGGCTTGGCCAACATGCCTTGGTCTTTTTGGAAGAGGGAGGTCAAATGAAAGTGGGCAGAGACTATTGGAACTGTGGTGCCTACATGGACTATGGGTAAATAACACCTACTTCAACTGTAAGGCTATCCACCAAGTGTCATGGAGGCATCCCCGCTCTAAACACTGGCACCAGTCATAATCACAAGACGCACACACCTGGCCAGTGTCCTCCTCATACACAGCTACAAGAGCGCAGACTGTGACACAGATCATTCCTTAGTGTCTAGCAAGATAAGGCTACAGCCAAAGAAACTGTATCACACCAAAAACAAGAGCTAACCACGCATAAGCATATGTTCAATCAAAAACCCAGAGAGAACAGAAGAATACACCCATAGCCTACAAGAAGCCCTTTACAAATGCCACCAATAGACACTATTGAGTCCAAATGGTATCATTTGCTTGACACTATCTATAACTCAGCAAGCACGGCATTTGGAAAGAGAGAACGCAAAAGTGCAGATTGGTTCGAGGCTCATTGGCAGGAAATGAAACATGTCACCGATGCAAAAAAAAAGGCCATTTTATCTTATAAAGACAGGCCTTGCCCAGCAACACTACAATCCCTTGAAAGCGCCAAGAAAAATGCCCAGCAGGCAGCTCGCCACTACGCTAACACATACTGGCTCAATCTAAGCTCCAGCTTACAATCAGCTGCTGATAGAGGAGATGCACAGGCAATTTACGAGAATATAAAACAAGCAACAGGCCCTCTGATCTCCAAGACTGCGCCCTTAATGTCCAGATCAGGGGAACTTATTACTGATCGAGATAAACAACTCAAACGGTGGATAGAGCACTACTTGAAAATATACGCAAAAATAAACCTTGTCTCACACGCTGCCCTGGACGATATCCCAGACTTACTGGTCATGGAGGAGCTTGATACCCTACCCTCCACTGAAGAGCTACGTAGAGCCATCGACTGTTTCGCCTGTGGGAAAGCCCCTAGCAATGATGGAATCCCACCAGAAGCTCTCAATTGTGGAAAAGAAGTACTATTATGGCCCTTTCACACTCTCCTTACTCTGTGCTGGGAACAGGGACAGCTAAAAAATAAAGGTGACTAGAGTGACTGCAAAAACTATCGTGGAATCTCCCTTCTCAGCATAGTTGGAAAGGCCTTCGCCCGAGTTGCTTTAACACGCCTGCAGACCCCCTACGGTAATTGCACATGGCACTTGAACCTTGTCCTTGTTTCATACCTGCAATAGAAATCTACAGGTGAAGAGAGGCCAACTTTTGACTTCTCTTGCACTAGCTAATGTGTGCTAATGTAATAACCAGTCAATTTTTAAGATTAAAATTTGAATAGAAAAAACAAGATTGTTGGCGTCAACTAATCTAAACCCCCCTCTCTCCCCCTGTCAAACATTTCCAAACTGTCTCCTCCCCCCCTATTTTGTTGACGTAATTAATGGATGCCCCCCCCCCTATAGCGTGTGCTATTTTTTGCAATACGAGACAGAGATTTGTGTACTGTTTGTGTCTAGATTCCTTTTTCATCATTGTACATATTTACAACATTATTTCTTCTTTGACATTGTACCCGTACAAGCCAATCTTTATACTATAAGTCAATAGCTTTAAATTTA